AAAGAAGTGGCAGGAGAAGAAGGAGAAGAAACATACAAGAAAAGCAGTATTCACTCCATACTGAAGTATGGAGTGAAATAAAACAACAGAGAACTGCAAATGGGTGGAAATAGGTCAATAAATGGTAACTTAAAGGTAGAGCATGCTTTGTAGGCTATGTACGAGTTGATCTAATACAAAATGATTGCCAAAATGTTACAGTTTGTATCTGAGTGTAAATCAGGTGATCCTCTAAGTGAAATGTTACATAAGAATTGTTCAGACATGTTATGAACATCAAAGATAGAGCCTACCAAGTTCTATAGATTGCTGAGTAGGGTGACTCTTTGCTGATTGTATACTGGGCAGTGTAACAGAAATGTATGGCGCTCTCACAACGAGACCCGCAGATACAAGCTGCACTAGGGCTAAATTACCTTAAAAATAAACTGTGGTTAAGACTACAGGTCCCGATGCGAAGACTTATTATGTTAGGTATTCAGTAATTTATTTTTGTATTAATTTAAATTTTATTTACTTATTTATTGTGTTCCTAGACCGACAGGGCATTTCCAGTATAAATAAAGTGTATTGATTGATTGATTGATTGATTGAAGACGCGTGATATATGAGGAGGGTGCAGGTGTACCTGGGGCCATGGCTATAATATGGGTAAGGGGGGGGGGTACTGACTTAACTAACTTCGTACTTTATAATACAATTATGAAGTATAAGGGGGGGGGTCGGGAGGATTAGCTACAATGTTGATCTATCTAAAGGGTCCGACCGAGGTGTTTTTAACTCTTCATCTTGTGTATTGCTTTAGATGTTTTGTCAATCAAATAAAGATGATGTCAAACACACTGCAATCATTTTTGAGCCCTGCTTGTTTTAATTGAAATTACCCGTTTCCGGGATCCAGGACCAGGTGCCGGGCGGAGCCTTGTAATGTCATAAGTGTCCTGATCGTCAGAAGTGTCCTGACAAACGATCCGTCCTTCCGGGCTACTGAGATGCGTCCGGCATCGTCGCTCCAATACACATTCCCACCGGCATGGTCCAACCTTAGGACCCCCAGGAGTCCTATATCTAACAACAGATAGATGGAGATATCGTCATGTGTTGCAGTCAGTAAATAAGAACAAAATGGAGGGGGTGTATTTTTATTCAAATTGCGTTGAAAACTTTGAAGCTTTCACAAATAGTTACATTTTACTTTAAGCTTGAAGGTGGATGTTTTAAACTGACCAAAGCAGAAAGGAAATGATTTCCCTTGCAATTTTAGTCTACAATGATGCCCCTGTAGTACTAGCGTATACATTGTACATGTGGAATTCCGTAAGGCATACTGTACAATGAAGATCAGTAACAAGAAATGGATTGACGAATATCACCCACCTCTAACAATGGTCTCCTGCCCACTTCCATCACGACGAGCCCGATTGATGCCTCCAAAACCGTACCAGTACATGAAGTCAGTCTTAGGGTCGTAGTCCACTGACAGGGTCACCCCTGATGACACATGTACTTTTGACCCGTCCTCGACTTCAATTTGAAATATTCCATCAGTGGTAGCAACCAGCAGGAAAGGTTCTCCTATTTTTTCCATGAAAGTAAACACGGAAAATCGTTTTTTTACATACATATGGGGTTCAATTTGCCATCACATGTACACATGTCGGTTTGTAAATTATTTTCTTACGAAAATATGAACATTTTGGACGTTTTTACAAAGTCGTTTTAAATAAGATATTGTCAATATTTTTGTAAGCATATGTAATTGGGTATCTGTTTATATTTTTATAAACATATGAAGTTTTATGCAATTACACATTGTAAAGATCAGATTGTAAAACATATTCTCCCAAAAATTCGATCATTTCGGTTGTCTATACAGAATTTTTGCATATAAGATGTTGTAAATATGTTTGTAGGTATATGTAATTAATACAAAGACGATTAAACAATCTACGCTTCTGCAACATTTAAAAATGAACGTACCTGTACACTCCACGCCTGCAGCTTGGTCGTGGCTACAGTTTAGATCGTTTATCATCCACCCTGGGTACGAGCAGTTGAACAGGCTATTCTCGTCCCCATTACAGCGCAGGTTATCCATGTAGATTGGCCCTCTTCCTGTAAAGAAAACGACACCAATTATATCAGGCAACATTGAGATATGACGAAGGGATAGGTATGAAATTCATGAATTTTAATGGTTGTGGTACAATGTTAAACGTCATTCCAACACAAATATTACACAAATATACAATTTTCAACGACCACTGTCGAATTCATCGGGATAATGAATGACCAATCACTTCAAAATGTAATCTCGCGGGAGTTATGGTTACAGACACGTGACCATATTCACGGGACTCTACGGATGCGTGACGTAAGAAATTTATCACAAGTGTCAGGGAGTTAAAATCGCCCACATTTTTTGTTAGGTTATGACTGGAGTGCTCTGATAAATATTGCCTGTGTTAAGTATTAATCTTTGTCCGATGAGACGATGTTGCCCAGCGGTTCGATGTGGCTGCGTTGATAAAATTCTTACAGAGTGAGCTTGCTAAGGAAATCTGGTCTTCAAGCAGCGTTCTGTGTCACCGAGATGACGTCTTGAAGTGATTGGTAATTCATTATCCTGATAAAGGCGACAGTGGTCGTTTGAACTTTGGATTTCTGTGTGATATTTGTGTGGGAAGTTAAATATACTATAATTATTACTATAAACACAGATGAACTTTCATGACAATTTCAATGGTTCTTTATCGTTTTATGTTTATACACTTGCAATTAGGTTTAGGTCATGGATGCACATAACGATTATTAGTAAAAAGAGCTGGCAACAAAATTAGAAAAAAAATTTTATCTACACTTGTTTCTGCTCTGTCGTACATAGTACCAGTTACAGATGTCGAGCAATGGAGTTGATTTGATCAAGTCTATCTCTTGAAGCGTAGAATTCACAAATAAACAAGAATTCTGAGATTTCATACCTCCATGAAATATGAACATAATAAATGCATAGTGTTGTTAACATTTAGGTAACCTACATATGTCACAAGGTACAGAATTGCCATCATTCACCGTTAAGAAATCATAATTTTCGCAATAATTATGCAAATTAGCTCATCATTTGCATAATGGGTATCTGTTGACGTTCTATCTGCCATAGATTACATATATTACATGTATGAAAGCACTATAATGTAATTTTAGAATAGAATTTTGGAATTTCCTCATTAATTATGCAAATAAGGTCCTCATTTGCATAATTTGCATTTAATCGTGTACATCTCTCTCTCTCAGCTACCTACCTACCAAAAATGATGAAAATATGTTGTTCCTATCTGGACTTATTGGCTTTTAAAGATTTCGCCCGAAAGTCCCCTGCAGTTCCAGAACAAGCTGGTAGGGGGACCAAACCCACACCACGTATTTCTGACAGGAAAAGCTATCTGTCACCAAAAAGTCAAGACCATAGCATGTTCAGGACAAAAGATACAAAAACCGGAAGTTCTGCTGCGGTACCAAGGTCATTCACCAGGAGGCCCATATTTGACCTTGACCTTTGTCTTCCTAAGACTTTCCAACATACCAAATATCATCACAACCCATAAAGGCATTCTGAAGTTATGGTGACCACAAAGTTGCGGAAACACAGACAGACAGACAGACAGACACACAGACAGACACGCCAGAAACAATACCTCCATTATTCATGGAGGTAAATATAAAAATGAATATACCATAGCTGTTGTATATAAGGTCATGTTGCTTCCTTTTTACTTAGTACATAACAGGAAAATTAGTTGAAACAAGGTAAATCTCACCTGGGCCAAAATACGCATCATTGCGAACTAGTTGGGCACTGGCGTAGCCAAGCATTTTGCAAACAACGTCTGCATCCTTTATGTCAAACTGGTTGTGACAAACTGTGCCCCAGGTCATACTGTCGGCCTGTCGGACTTCCACACGTCCTTCTTTCCGACTGGAACCTCCGACAAGACGGATTCTGCTGGAATCTAAATGTGTATTATTTTTTAACAAAGCTCAGAGTATATAATTGTCCAGTATACTATATTGTGTATGATAAATCATCAATATCGCGCATTAATCTCTATAGATACAATAACCATTGCCGACGAGGTTGGACATTTCATGCATTCAAACAATTCAGACAAACATAAGTTTTATCTCCTAAGGACAATAGCAAGTAGATTCTATGGATGGCATCCTCACGGACTCCATATTTAAAAAAGACATGGCGGGTCAAAAACAAGATTACTACATTTTCAAATTTTGGCATCATAACCCTTGTTAATTAAAGCTTTGGTCCCAATTACGCCGGTGCCCGGTCGGGCTCAGGAGTCGGGCGGCCATCAGTGGTCTTGGTCATAATTAAAATTTCCTACAGTAGCATTTTGTTAAAAATTTTGTCACCCTCTTTGGTCGGTCTCCGACAGGCATCCGTTAGGTACCCGGCAGATTATCTGACGATGTGTCTTGTACTGACCTATACGTAATGCAGAATTCACGCTTTTGTTGTGATCATTTGATCTGTGACGTCACACATTCTACCCGGGTTTACGAAGTACACACCTTAATTCTGTTTATATGGTCTGTGACGTAACAAATGTATCCCGGTGGACTGCCGGCAACCGGAGGGGTACCTCTCACCCGATACGACCACGATTATAGCTTATTAGCATATAGTCACGGACATGATCCATTGCTTGTTATCGGTGTAAGGTACTACTTCCGTACCTCAAGGTATATCTCACGGTGCATACAAGCGAAGATCATACCATCCCTGCAGTGTCTGTCGTGATGAGCTACCGTGACGTAACACGCCGAGGATCACGTGAGCCGGGCAGTACGCCGTTTCCCCTAGCTGGCGTGTTGGTGTTTGCAATACGCACGCATTTTCGTTAAATTGTCAGAAATCTGCAATGTTTGAGGTGGTGAACACCGAGCACTTTACCTGCAGGGTGTGCACAGTTATTTAGACAAGTTCTCGGCAGTTTGTTCACAGGTAAGGACGCCGAAACGTCATAACCTACATGTACGGTCGATGGGGAGGGGAGCCCATAGTACTACTATCGTGGAGGTAGAAACCTCCATGCTACTACCGGGGCTTTTTTGCTGTTTGGGGGGTAGGAAATCTGTATTTTCCTTTTGTCTTGATGCGTATCGGGGTTTTTCTGGTCCAGCGTCCTTCAAATTTCAGACCAGAGCATACTGCCCCCCTCCCCATACCCGACATAATAATAATGGTGGCCGACATGGGTTTGCGGAAAAACTCGTCCAGTCCAGGAGATGAAAAAAAACAACAATCCAGTCTGACAAAAAGGCTCACCAAAAGCACTCCGCCGCTAGCCTGGAGGCCAGCCTTGTTAGCTTTGGTCCGCTCCTCAAGATCCGCTACCCAGCTAACAAGGCTGGACTCCAGGCTACATATGTCTCCGTGGTTCCACGAGATATATGTGATATATATTCCCGGAGCTTCTATTGCGTGCGATCTACGTTTGATCACCCCCCCCCTCCCCCGAAAAAAATTACCGATCCGGGAACGCTTGAAAAGGAGGCTAGGCGATGGCAACCTCGCCTGTTGCCATGTTTTATTGCCACAAGCTGGTTTGACTTGTGTTATTCCCAGCTCACATACAATGTACTTATGTTATTCTATGCCAATATGCCGCTATATAGCAACATGCAATGTTATCTTTTAATTTTTAAGTTTATTCACAACAAAAACAAACATGATGACTGGCCACGCCAGATTGTCACTCAGTAATTTCTAGGGATATCATGTTCCCTGGGCCATGTATTAAGATAATCTTATATCAAAATACGGCATCCTGAGATGTTAACTCATAAAGTAGAGTGTATTCTGGTAGATTTCACCCTCCAGGGCTTGAAATTCATTTTTGGGAATAGATGCACCCAACATAAGAAACTGGATGCAAAAAAATAATAATAATTTAGGTGCAACATATAAGATGAAAGAAGTAGAGAGTCTGCAAAAACTGTGCTTCATTTTAAGAAAAGCACTATAACAATACTTGTATTATCTGACACTTAGATGTCAAGAATATGCTGTAAGTACTGTACATTTAACATCTAAATTACATAAACCTAAGAAAATATTTGGGTCCAATGGTGCACCCACAGAAAAAAAAATTAGGTGCATAGCTACAAATTTGGGTGCACTAAGGTGCACTTTCACCCAATATTTCAAGCCCTGCCCTCCTTTGTGTATTCAGGTGTATTTCAGTAAATAGATTAACCGTGCATCCTTAGTGCAGGTAAATTGGAGCCATGCAGGTATTTCTGATGTCTACTAGTACCTGCACCTAACCTGCACTGGTCCATGTACTGGGTATATGCAGGTTATTTCAGGTATAATTGGAGCTGTGCAGGTATTTCTGATGTCTACCTGCACCTAACCTGCACTGGTCCATGTATATATACTGGGTATATGCAGGTTATTACAGGTATAATTGGAGCTATGCAGGTATTTTTGATGTCTACCTGCACCTAACCTGCACTGGTCCATGTACTGGGCATATGCAGGTTATTACAGGTATAATTGGATCTGCGAAGGTATTCCTGATGCCTACGTTACCTGCACCGGTCGACCGGTGTACTGGGTTTTATATAATATACATGTACAGGGATTGAATACTGGCTGCATATGCACCTTAGTGCAGGTAATCTTTGGCCTGTGTACAGTAGGTATATATATGATGTCTACCTGCACTGGTCCATGTACTGGGTCTACACAGTACATATGTACATGTAGGTTTATGTGGATTTGTTTGCTGCTAACACCTATGTAATATTAAAGAAATGGTGGCAATGGTTTCTTAACAGTTTTTGGTGCAGTTTGAGTTTGAGTTTGAGTGGTGCGAGTAGAAATTGTCTGGTTCAGGTAATTTTCAATGTTACCTGTACCGGTGTTGGTGCATGTTTGGGTGTTACCTGTGGAAAGAAATAATGGCAATGATTTGTGAACAGTTTTTACATTTTACTTCTCAAAGTCTGAATGAAAAGACAGCTAAAACCTATCTGATGCAGGTGATTTTTAATGTTACCTGCACTAGTTTAGATATGCAGGAACAAGTTTGAACCTGGATATTTCAAATGCCATCAGGAGTACTACTGAAGTTAGAATTCACTGCTCAATATGAATAGTGTCTAGTCTCCACTCAGTCAGGCTGGCCATACATATAAGAATAAGCATAACTGTAAAAATTTGGAATCCAGTGATAATTTTAAGAATTGTACTTTGAATATCCAGAAATACAAACTTTAAGATTTCTTAAATAGGTGGCATTGAGATCCTGACATATACTGCATTCCAACAGCATTGAAAACAATTCTGATTGTATTCAAAATTATTCAAGTTTGACAAATCATTTATTAGTTATATATATTAGCCAAGGTAGCGAACTGTCATTCTAGTGGTAAATCACGGTTTGTATAATGATTCATTATCTAAAAATTAGAATACTAGTATACTAAAGTTTTCCTGAGTTTCAAATGCATGATTTGGCATCTTTGAGATGAAATTTACCTGAGTAAAAGTTTATATTATTCATTTACAAGTTCATACCTGAGAGGTAATTGCTACAAGAAATGATGTATATTTAAACATTGGTTGTGATAAAAACTTTTAACATGAAACCAAGGATATTGTATAGAATGCCCTTGACCATAGTTAACCCTGAACAAATTGTACATATACATATTTGATAACGGGCAAGTTAAGCATAATACACGCACTGCATCACAATTTTTTTTGTCACTAATTCTTCACAATTCTTTTTCTCTATTGTCACTGATTCCTAGTAACAATAGATACGTACATTCTATTTTTTCTCAAGGCCATGAAGGAGTACCAGGGAGACTTCACCTTTGAGGGAAGCATTGAAAATGAAGCTGTGTGCCAAATAAACAGGTCTAAAACTAACCTTCAATTGTAGATTAAATACATAATGAGAGTAGCTGAGCAGGTACCATTTTATCAGTCAATTTATAAGAAAAATGTCCAGACTATGCATGATGTACAAAATGACTAATAAGCTGGTGGACGTCCCAATTACGAAGTACCTAATACCAGCCCAGAAGAGAACAAGAAATAGCCATGCCTTCAGGTACCAACCAAGTTATCAACCAAGGATTGAGGTGTTCAAGAATTAATTCTTTCCTAGAACTATGTCAGAGTGGAACTCGCTGTCACCAAGTACAGTAAGGGCATTATCATTAGATAGCTTTAAGCAGTTAGATGTTCCAGGGTTAGGTGTAACAAGTCGATCAGTGTAATGTAGCCGGCTGCCATCGCGCCGCGTGCCTGCGAAGTTAGAGTGTTATGCCGAAAGGCACTTATACCGGCTATACAGATAAAGATACATAACGTTTCTGAAAACCTGTGTTATTTTTCATGACTAAATATGAATGACAGCAGTTTTCATTAGTTCAAGTATCATATCCTTGCACCGAAGGTATCATGAACTTCAAGCTGTATTGCAATTTTATCCACACTGTGAAATCAAAGATATCAAACAATGAAATAGCAAACTAGAAAGGCCAATGTTTGCTTTGGAGCAAATACAGCGATGGGTTCACCACATTTTACGACATGGCAAGGATAGAATGAGAAACACAAGGGAAAACAATGATTTACATTGATATAACAATAATATGAAGTAACATACAACTAAAACAACAGTTGGATAGCTATTCCCTACTATATTGGTTACGATTTTTAATAGCATAATGCAAACTGTTGATTTTCAAAATAAAAAAAAAAAACGTTCATGCCCCGCATTCCAATGCTGGAGCAGGAAAGCTTGAAATACCTACCAAAACACTTAAATAAAGACATACTGTCAGTATGGAAATGCTCTGTGCAGGTGTTAATCAAGTTAAATCCCAACAGCCAATCAGCAAGAAATGCTCTGTGCAGGTGGAAATGCTCTGTGCAGGTGTTAATCAAGTTAAATCCCAACAGCCAATCAGCAAGAAGATGGAGGAAAGCTGCATGCCT